TGATGGGATTCACGTCAACAGCGGCAACCCGCCCCAGGCATTGTGTTTTTTCTTGTGGGGAGAAAACTAGCAACAGTCGATGATAACCAGCGCACCTCCAGAGACATCTCACCCAAACACCTGTGTCCATGTTTGGTCAGCCACCCGGAATGTTTCAATGAGAAAACTTGGCTGAGTAACAGATCCTGCAAGAGATGATTTGCAAAAGCTCCACAATCAGCAAAGCACTGGAGGCATCGGACCTAAAAACTCTCTAAATAGGTAATTGGCAGTGTTATTACCTGTGGTTGTTTAACTTTTATATATTTATAATTTCATGCATTGTGGACACTAATTAGAGACTGGCTAATTGAATTGCTGGTTTCCTGTATATGAATGGGGTTTCGGATGGTATAGTTTAGGGCTGCACGATATTGAAAAAAAACTGACATGCCGATTTTTTTCTCCCCTGCGATATATATGGCGGTTTTTTAACTATATTTATCGGATGAAGGTATTTGTCCTCCTGTTGCTCGGCTCATTTTTTACCGGTGTAATTGATGGGTCTGCAAACTAGCGGGGCGGCCTGCTGTGATCTGATCACAGAATGATTGGTGATTTGGTGGTTTGCTGTGCATGCAGAGCCTGCATGTCACTCACTCAAGTACCCCTGACAGGAGAGCCGCGTTAAGTTTTTCCTTTTGTTATGCAAGCAGCCACAGCCAGCCCTGCTGTATTCGTTTATAGCATAACGTTAGCATTTGCTTCTGTCGACTATGATTTAGATTCAAAATTATAAAGTAGGGTTGACATGTGGAGATTATCGGCTGAACAAAAACGTGATCCCTCTCTTAAATGTGTGTGCAACCATCAGACCTTATTTTCAAGCTATTTTTCCAAAATCCTATGGAGAATTTGCATTGGTTTTTACGAAGGAACGGAAAGAAGTCTTACTTCCGGGGTTTAAGGACACGACACTGCGTTACTATAGTTACGGCCTGTCCACACAGCTGCGTGCGTTGACGCTTGGCGGTGGGCGTATCTGAAGCTTGGGGATTTTTTGCGAGAAACGCGACCAACAACCAATCACATGAATCTCCCGCCCCCGACATACAAAGCAATAGCAATGTTAAAACGAAGTAAACTGGATATAAACTCCCCAAACAGGCGAAAACCTACCAGTTTCACCCACTGTCTCTGCCACCTCCCTCCATGCCTGGTTCCTCCGGTTTGTATCCCGGTAGGTGAACAGAGACTGATCATACAGCACCGGGTGATTCACTAGCGCTATAATGAATCTTTCCTCAATTTTTGGGAATATGAGGAAATGACCTGCGTAGTCTCTCCCAGCATACACGCGGTTTGATTGGCTAGCGCTTGTACTGGCAGATTTGCATAAACGGGATTTCATTGGCTGACGCTTCTGTCGAGGCGCTAAAAGTTGAACATTGCTGAACTTTTGAAGCGAGCAACGCCAGCAACACGTCGCTTCCCAAAATGCAGTTCGGCAAAAAGTGACGTCACCCCATTCAAAGTGAATGGTGAAGCGTCAACGCACGCCGCTGTGTGGAGGGCCGTAACGCGCCGCAGACAGACCCGGTGGAATCTAGGGCAAGCTGCGGTACACTCTGGTGGCTACCATTAGGCACTAACTTGTTACATAAAAATGATTATGGATTATAAACAATTTGCTTCCAAAGCCCACAGATGGGCTGCTCTCGTGGTGCTGG